GCGGGCCGGTGTCCTGCAGGTTTTAGATGTGTCCCTGATCCAACACAGCAGATTTAAATGGATAAATTAGCTCCTCAACATGTCTTGAAGTTCTCCAGAAGCCTGTTAATGAACCAATCATGTGATTCAGGTGTGTTGACCCAGGGTGGGATCTAAACCTGCAGGACACCAAAGCCTGGAGTTCGACACCCCTGCACTAAGGCATGAGCTAGCTGCTTTACATAACAGCTGACAGAGGATTTGTCAGCAGCATGTGCCACGTTCAGCAGTGACAGCAGCACTGCATAAAAGCTTTAAGCATTCAAATTAAAGTGTATCAAAAAGGGTCTTTCTTGTAAAAAGGAAAAACAAAGCAGAATTTATAGGAGTCACAGTTTTCCCTGCAAAGCTAACTGAACACAGTGTGAGAGCATCTCTGTGAGCAGGGCCTCTACAGTGGGCAGTGATCTGTGCTACATGTGTGTCGAATGGCTATAAGTGGGAACGATCGTCACGTCGTAGCCAAAGAAAGAAAACTATAAAACATTACAAATGTCTGAGGTCATACTCCAACAACATCTCAGTAAGGTTTCATCTTAATCAGCTCATCACCACATAAAATGTATTTTAGCTCCTTTGAAGCGAGGCTGAGTGAGTTTCTGACCCACAGTTAGTGTTTCTCCTTCAGTAGGAGCTATGGCCATAGCAGCACTGACCTGCTCACGAACTACAGAGATGTACTGCAGCATCGTGGGTTTAAAAAACCTTCACTTGTGTGCTAGCATGTTAGGCTTCACCCTGTACCTTTCACAGCTCCTCACGTAAACAGGGCAGTGCAAGAGCAGCTGAAGCTGGATGTTGTCAACTACATGACCAAAGGCAACTGGATGGTTCATATATGAAACCTCAGTCACAGTGTTACCCACACACAGTTTGGTGTTATTGTTTCACTCTCCTCTATTCTCATATTTCTTACTATGAACAACTAAAATGTCCTTGGTCTCACCATGTCCAACAACCTGAGATGGACCTTCAGCACCTGAAACCTGGTCAAAGCCCAAAGCCCCACCGCTGCAGAGCTGAAGGAGCTACAGCATGTGGTCCAAGACTGCACAGCGTGTAGTTACGCTGGCAAAAGCCCCATTTACACACGTGCAGGCATCAGCATATACACAGATTACACAGAAACACTGGAGGACTCACCACAGTGAGGAAAGATTTAGGGGATGAAACGTGTGTTCTTCAATTTTTAGAGTATTTAAAAGGCAGAGCCTTCAGTTTTCAGGCCCCTCTTCTGTGGAACCAGCTTCCAGTTTGGATTCAGGAGACAGACACTATCTCTACTTTCAAGAT